GTAGTTTCTGGCTGCTCCGGTGGGGTTTTAAAAGTTGCAGCAGGGAAAATCCAATCGAAAATAGCAGTAAAGTTTAAATTTAAACTAATATTTTAATAGTCTTTTAAAAATCAAAACAAAAAATCACTTTTTAATTGAGCAATTAGTATAGAAATCACATTTATAGATTTCTAGTAATAGAAATCCAATCCATCCTCACTAAACAAAATGCGCAATATATTTTAATAAATTCTACACAAGCAACTAATTGGAACATGTTTTTTACGTCGATTTTTAAGAAATCAAAGGCGGTGAAATTATTTAAACTAGGAATGTTTTACCGCTTTAAACTCGTTATTAAAATCGCAATCAAATGGCATTCAAAGATAAAATTTTTATTTCTGAGCAATTTTTACAAAAAATTTGGATTTTATATCGATCAAAAAATAAATGGTTCGGAAGGTGCTGATCATCTGGTTTATATCTTCTGCTTCAAGAAGTGAGTCTATCTTATATAATTATTTTTGATCGCCAAGTTGTAAATGGTAGCCTACAAAGAGGAATGTTGGTAATAAAAAGGTTGCTTACATTAAGTGTTTGCTGAATTTAGTAGTTAAGACTTAGATTCAATTTACAAAAAAGCATTTTATATATTTGACCGCCTTTCTATAAAAGTCACAACAATACCTTTCCACAGTACTTCTGAAGTTGACGAGAAATTGATATTGATGGTTTTCGACTGAGTCAAATCGGAACTCTTTATAGTTTTTGACTTTGTGGCAAGATCGTGTTTCGTTTTATATTGCGTTTTTGCATTTTCTTTCAACTCCAGCATATTTAATGAAACCGAAATCCTTCAATCTGTTCTTGCCGCATATGGCAATACTTTCAGCGTGCGCTTATAAATATTGAAATAGATGTCAATAACATTTTCACACGCTGTGCGAACCCAAACCCTCACCTTTCGACCAGCTAGCCCCAGGATAAATGAAGAGCCCAGAGAAATTTTTGGGCCTGGTGCGTGTCGCACCCGAAAATCTGTTAATAATGATGCTTGACATATGTAGGCAGTTGGCCGTAAGTCGAGGGCAAATAAAATGGAAGCCAACCGAAAGCTGGCGCATTTGTGCGTGTGAAATATGTTTTGTCAACTTATTAAATATGCTCACTTCCCTGCTCCTTTTTTTGGAATTTGTTTTGTCTGCCTTTTTTCCGTTGTGGGCTTCGATACGTGCTGGGGCATTTGAATGGTCGGAATGGCACAAACAAATGCGGTCTGGTTGGCCGGATCGGGTGGCCCCGGGTCTTATGTGGCTGAATTGATGCTGATGAAATTATAAGGTTGGTGGGGCTGAGGGCGTGATTGAGCTCTCTTGGCATGGAATTGAAATGAATTATATCAGCAAAATATTTGCTGAAACATTGATGAAGTATAGCATAACCGTTGTGTCATCAAAATGTTTTTGGCCGCGGGGGAATTCGTATTTGCAATGCAAAATGCAAAATTACGATTATTATAAATCTCCCATAATTTGGTACATTTGAAGCAAATCCATTTTGACTTACCCGGTGATGCTGATAAATAAAAGATACCTCTTTAATTTAATTTATAACTTGAAATTCATTCGAAATACTTTAATAATAGCGCACATTTCGGGATATTAACCTTTTAATATACAAAAGGCATCCGTGCGCATTTCGCATAATTGTACACTCGCGTTTATTGAGATAATTGCAAATAATTACAATTAATTGTATCGTATGATAAAAATGCAATACATTTTTTAATTAAATAAAACGAAACAGAAAACTCCTTTGCCGTTTATCAAGCACACCTCAATCGTTATTCAGTTTGCAGCAGGAAAATAATAAAGGCGGTGGCTGTCATCATCAACTGAGTCACACATATGGCCAATGGACATTCATCTGAGGGAATGACCAACATTTTAGAGTCCTGTCCGCCTTGCCTTACTATTCAACTCCCATGTTTATTGTCAATTGCAGCCAGCAGGGAAAGCTCTCTGCTCTCTCCACAGCACTTATTTTTATTTAGCCAAAGAAAAACAAGATGGTATAAAAGTGAAGGCAAACTAATTTCTGCACACCGACATAGACAATCACTTTTTGTATTGAAGAAAGATATGAGCGACATGGAACTATTGCAAGTATGCATTTTAATATAGGTATTAATATAGAGGTATTAGCATAGAGTATTTAATATAGAGCTAAAAATATGCTATGATCACAACAATTTTGTACAACTTAAAAAAAAAATGTTATATTTTAAGTTCATAATTTTATGATCCTTACAGTTAAAGTTAAAGGAAGTATATTAAGGGGTCTTAATAGACCGATTAATCGCCAAAATACTTCGCCTTGAATCATTATTGAAATTTCATTTTCATAAATTTAAAAACATTCTATTGATGAAAGACTTCCCTAATAGACATATATAAATTTTAATAATTTTAATAAGAAGTATAACGCCGTATAATTTTCGGGTTGAGAGTATTGATAGTGAAACATTATCTTGATTGAGAAATAGTTTATAGTTAATGATATTAAGGTTCGTTAAGTCACCATATTAACCCTTGGCAGGGTATAGCAACCAAGAAAGACTCGGCGTGAAAAGATACTTTATCCGTTTTTCAGAATGGCTGCGTGTTGATTGTCGGGCAGACGGACTCTTGTGTTGCCTCTTCGGTCGGTTGGCCGTATTTACAGGTAAAAACCCCATTGAAATGTGCACCCGTGTTTTGTTTGGTAACAATCTGCTTTTTGTTTTCGCAGTCTCGTCGGCGCCAAGCAGCAACAAAAACAAAAAACAGCAGAGAAGACACAACTTCATTTTAATGGAGTAGACAACGTCAGCCATGGCGACACAAAAAGGGCGCCACACACACATTCTGGTTGGTCCTGCGTAAATGCCACGCCCCTTTTTGGCACATGGAGTGCGTCCTTGTATCTAGATTGAGTAGGTGTCACTTCCCTCCTTCATTTTTCATTTCTGTTCTTAATTGTGACATTAAATTTTAGTATTAGCAGCCATAAATTTCTGCCACCTTCTGCAACGATTAAATGTGACTATTAACCTCTTCGGTTCATACTAATGTGAAAGTAAATAAAACGCAAACCAAACCATAAAACCAGCGTCTGCTTAAATTAAAAATAAACTTGAGCTTAATTAGATAGAAATAATATTATATTTGTATTGGATAGATAGATACCTATTTGGTAAGCTAAGTTATTCATAGATAAAGATGATGATGATTGATAATTACGTTACAACATTTTTACAACTTATTATGTTTTAATAAAAAAGGTAATGTTGAAATTATTACTTGGAAAATATATTTTATTTTTTAACTCTTTAAAATTTAGGATAGGCAGTAAATAATAAAAAACAAGAGAGAACGCTATAGTCGGGTGCCCCGACTATCAGATACCCGTTACTCAGCTAAAGGGAGTGCGAGGGAGATGGAGATAGAAACTTTGATCACGCATAACTTTTTAACGAATGGTCCGATTTGAAAAATTTCTTTTACATTTCGATAGGTATTGATAAACACAATAAAACTGCATTTTTACTTTTCCGAAATATTTAAATTTTTAAAATCGTATATAAGCGATTGTGGGCGTTAAAGGGGGCGTGGCACCATTTTGAAACAAACTTGCGCTGCGTAGGAACATCTAAAATCTACATGCAAAATGCCAATCTTCTAGCTTTTATAGTTTCCGAGATCTCAGCGTTCATACGGACAGACAGACAGACAGACAGACAGACGGACAGACAGACGGACAGACGGAGAGACGGACAGACGGACATGGCTAGATCGACTCGGCTAGTGATCCTGATCAAGAATATATATACTTTATGGGGTCGGAAACGCTTCCTTCTAGCTGTTACATACTTTTGCACGAATACAATATACCCTTTTACTCTACGAGTAACGGGTATAATTAAATGCACATGGATAACTTGTTCATAAGTTTGGTGTTTTTATATGAATCACATCTAATTTATTTAGGGTCTCTGAAATGGCAGCCTAATATATTTTTCAAATGAATATAATAAGTAAAATGACTTGAGTTTTGCAAATATTGACCTCTCTGTTCATTCAATTTCCAACTTTAAATACTACTTTACTCTGGCAAACCTCTTGGGCTCGTCAATGGAAGTCTGTTGTGCATTTTGCAACCCAGATTTCCTGCGGACAGGCTACCCGCGTGTGATGCAAATGTAAAAGCTATCCCCCAAGCTTTCCGATCCCGCTCAAAATGGCCGGCTCAAGCGATTGGGAAAGGTGTCATTAACGAAGGCCAGCTCGGCGAAGCACCAGCAGCTATAGAACCACCCACCAAAAACCACCCACACCACCCACTTCCCGAGCCACTCAGCTATTTTCCAGCCGCGTCAACATAATTGATGAGTTTCGCTCTAAGCAAGAGGCGAATGTCGACATCGGTTTCCCGGGAGCTGTGTTTGGATGTTTGCGGTCAACTCACACACAGATACTCACACAGATACCCACGCACACCTCCAAACTATGCGGGTGTGTATTGTGTGTTGGTAAATTGGCTTACTTTGTCGACAGCTTAAGTCCCTTGGGTGTTTATTGAAATTTAGTTGAAAATAGCTAAACACTTAAGGTGGCATTTCGAGCCCATCGAAAGATAAATGATGGCTATACACGTGTATTTAGTTTCTTTATAACACGTCCACAATTTTGCTGAGAGCCGGCTTAGTTTGGTTTTAAATGGTTTTAAAAATACTTATTGTATAGCCATGAGATCTGTTTTAATAAATACTTTTTTAATAAAAAGCTTATTTAATATCCGATAGTACTTTAAGTACATTGCGAAATTCAAGAATTCATGAATGGCAAGAAAGCTTCTGAAAAGGAAAAGATTTACTATATTCTTAAAGTGCAATGTTAGTAATAAGACAAATTAAATCTTGGTCTTGGTAGGACCAATTATTCTTATTCCAATTTCTTTAAAAAAAAAACACCATACTGCTTTTATAACCAAAATATATATTGAAAGCTTGCTAACCCAATACAAATATTTAGCAAAATAAAATAATTGTATAGTGGAGACATTGGGTCAACTCCGCTGGCCTCGTGAATGGGCATGGCATTGTCCACCCTCGGCAACCTTTTCTTGACCTCGCACTGGTGGATCATGGCCCTGCCCATGCTGTCGCCGGCGAAGGACCGCAGTTGCCTGGCGACCTCGAGGCCGCACAACAAGGCAGCCCTGGTGTAGTAGCAGTCCAGGACATCGTTGAAGATGTGGCACACCTTGGTGGCATTCCGCCGTTCGTACCAATCCGCCGGAGCCTCGCACTCGATCATGTCCGTGCGGAGTTCCCTAATGCAGTTGTGCGACTCCTGCAGTCCTGTGCACCGCTTCCGGTTGCTCCCATCACCCCCCTCACACACCTCCGCCCGGAAGTAGCTCAGTCCGTCCGCCAATCTGCCATAGATATTATCCGGCGCCAGGACGCAGTTGCGCATGGAGCTGTGTATGTTGCCAAGGACATCGGTGATCTCGGCACAGGAGTCGGTGAGTGAGGGCTGCGCCAGCAGCAGGACAATCCGCTCGGGACTCACCACGTAGAGGCGGGCCAACTGCATCAGCACGGGATTGTCATCACAGAAGCGTTGTGATCCACCTTCACTCGACCCTGTAGATTGTTCACAGCCAGCAATCTTTCCGGCCATCCTGGAGGCCAAGGACTTGGGCTCGTAGCCAGGGGGACAGGTGGAACCCGACTGGCTCTTGTTTTTCTGACCCCCGCCATGGCGAAACAAGTGCGGGATTAATCCGTAGCGCTGGAAGTACCAGGGAAACCAAATCGCCTGACCCGAATCCAAATTGCCAAGCAGCTGCAGCAGAAGCAGCAGAGCTCTCCACTTCTGTGACATGATTATCGATTCTTTATGATTTTTATGAAAATTCGAGATTTCTCTGAGTGAACTTGGTTAACTCTAGAGATTTGAATGCCCCGAAAATGTATTAAGTATATATGGTGTTTATGTTTACAAATTCCATATAATTAGAAGTCTAGTAATAGTGTTTTTGAATCAGTAAATTTTCGTATGCGGAATTTATGAATTTTACGAACATATGTATATTTAAGTGGAACTGTGAAGTGAGAACTAATTTATTTAATATTCCTAAATAAATTTAAAATCCATTTTGTCAAGATAAAAAATGCAACAGCACAAACCACTATTAATATTCCATGCGAGTAGAATTTTATAAATGGGAACCAACCAAACTGCACACAATACGGCTTCTCTGAAAATCATAGACGTAAAAGCATTTCTAATAATACCCAATAAGCTTATGCATCGGAGATTTTATCAAGGTTTCTTTCGTCATTCGGCATCCGATTCATTCCATGCGAAATTATCACAGAAAAGCAACTACCATTCTTTGCCTCCGCAGAGCTGCCACAATAAAATGTTAAATTTAAAATGAAATCCTTGCCTTTTATTCTGTCCATTGGGATCTCTGTCCCACTTAGCCCCCTTCCAAAAACGGACTCGCTCGAAGGGGAATTCTTTATCAAAGCGTACACCTTGAAGGACTCGCACAATTCCGTTCGACTACATTTTTTTTTTGGAACAAGTTGTGGGGTATATATGTGCCGAGTGAATTTTATTAGCACTCATAAGTTGTAAAGTGTATGGGCAAAAGGCAAGCAGAGACAGAACAAGATGATTTCCGAGGATCTCCCTTTGCCTTGGCAGACTTTTGTGCGTTTGCCGCACTTCATGTTAAACAGATTTTTATTGCAGTTTTTTATTTGCGCCGACTCCCTCCCACTATGAATTTTACTTTGTCGCTCATTCCGCCTGCCTTTTCTTTCTTTTTATTATTAAACATTTCGCTGCTGAAGGAAATGAAATATTTTTGCATGTAAAAACCATTCGACTTCATGCTGTGACAATGTTTTCGCGCTGTTTATGTGGACGCTGCTCTCGCCGGCGTTTCTCTTTTTATTTTATTGTATTTTATATTTCTGTTCATTTCCGTCACGTAATAAAATAACAAGGTAAATATGCAAGGAGCAACAATTTAAACGCATCATAAATAAAAAAGGAGCTTTGAATTCCCAAGGACTCGGCACTTCATCACACTGTCATTGTCTTCATCGAGCCCAGGGAATCGAATTCGCCCTCCTGTCCGGAATAACTTCATTAGACATTCCTGATCATTAATCTCTGGCTTCGGGCTTATAACAGATTGTTATGTGTCCTGGGCAGGACCTACAACAATTAACTGGCCAAGGGCATGGGGAATAAGTGTGTCCTGGGCATTATCTAATCCAGTCAATGGCGAAATTATGTCATTAGCTTCAGCCGTGTTCAAATTTGCCCAATGAACTGTGTTAAATTTTCTGACTAATTGCTTCTGTATGCGTATGTCCTGTCCAGGACGCTATTGGCAAATTGTTGTTCGCCACACACAGCACAAGCGAATAAAAAAGAAACACTGAATAAAACAACCCACACAACGAATAAAAATTAATTGGTTTTTGATGTGCTGGCTAGGGAAATGAGATGAAGGGACCAAAAGATGAAGCTTAATTAAAGTGATTGGTTGTGGAGCAAAAAACCGCAAGTGAATATGCAGCAATCCAAAAGGTTGTGGCTGTAGTTGAAGGTCAGTCCGATTGAATATTCCACCAACTATTTATTGATTTTAAGCATAAAGGGGATTCTCTGAAAAGAACACCACAGTTTTATTTATGGAAACTACATTTTATATTTTTCCGTGGCCATTTAAATGAACTAAAATTTCTTTTATTGTTAAAAAAAAATGTTAACGTTTAAAATTGAAGTGCTCCAAGGCATGGTTTTTGTATGATGTTTTTTATCCAAGCGAGAAAATGTGTAAGCCAACACTATTTTGATGTATTTTCGCACTGATCTGCCGGTCAATTTTGTCTATGGGCGGAAACATATTAAGAGCATAATTTTGCGCATTATTTAATGCAATTATTTGAACATTAAAAATTGAACAGCAAACAACAAAAATTGAAACAAATGGCCGGAAATTTAAACGCATAAAAAAAGACTTAATGAAAGTCACTCACATGCCGGCACATAAAGATATCTGCATGATTGTTTGTTTGTTGCTGCGTCGGCGAGCATAATTAAAATGTCAAACACGGCATAAATCATTTTTCAGTTAATGTTAATGCACTTATGCCTGGAACTTTGCTAAATTTTTAATTGCATTTCCATTAAAATCAATAAAAAGCCAACGACTTGCAGCCAGAAGAGCTCTATATAAAAATTAAAAAAAAAACTCTCTCAAAACTCTGCTTAACTACCGAGTGCACTTTTCCATACCCAAAAACTACTGAAAACAAAATCGAATAAAAATGACACTTAATTTCGCCTAGAATGAACTTTTTAGCTAGCATCCAGGTGCGGCTGCTACCGAATGAAAACCTAATGAAAAAGCCAACAAAGTAAGGGCATTTTGGGCGACCAGCAAGTAGTAAATGGAAATTAGATTGCCTGGCGCCTTGGTCACCCGCCAGACAACAACTTGATACAACTTTTGCCCCCTTTCCCCCCGTTTCCCCTTGGGCCATCCCAAAGGGGACTCCAACTGGCGGCGTAACTAGTTCAAGTCGCTTCCAGTAATTATAAATTTACCTAGGGAATTACCAGGCCCCGCTGAGTGCCCATCCAAGGGAGCTGAGGTGAGTTTGGTTAAAACTTCTGAGTGCGGCTAGTGCAACCAGCTGAGGAGAACCCAAACTAACTACCTCGCTTCAAGTAATAATATTATTGATAGATTACGGTGCGCCACGAGTGGGTTTGTTTTCGATGATGGGCCCTGAAATGGAATGGGGTTAAGTATTTTAATGCTGTAGCTAACAAAGTTGATCCGAAAGTCTGTTTGCACTGCAGTTTCCCGAGTGGCTGTCATGCCAAAGGTAAAACTAGTTTAGACATTTGTTCGAGCGTCTCTGAAGAGCGGCTGGAAATGGTTAGTCCTAGCTAATTAAGTTGCCAACACTGAAAATGAGCTTGGCAAAACTTCCATAGGCCAAAACAGCACATGCAACTGTGAAGAGTTCATTTCACAGTGTTTTGTCAAAGTTCCAAGTAATTCAGTTGCTCATTAAATATCATGTTAATACGATTGTTATAATTTAATTATTCGATTTATGTAGTTAAATCAAAGAAGATGTGAACTCTGTCTGAGATAAATGATTTTAATTGTACATTTTTCTGTATCTAAGAATGTTAAACACAAAAATCATACAATGTTTTGTTAACATATAATGACAAGTCTGTCAAGTGGGTTCTTAAACTTTACAAATTTGATAAATATTTAAAGGCTAAACTAAACCTTCATAAAACCTTTTCAAATTAAACTTTAACATCTCCAAAGACAGAAGCCACAATTTAAAGCTAACGCGCAAATTAGGAAACTCCGAGGAAGTCTAACTTCAAATCGAAAACTGAGGCCGCTTTTTTTGACCTTTCCTTCTGGGCCAAAATAGGCTGAATCGAAAGCATACGAAGCGAATACGGAAGTGAAAGGTGTTAAGACCCCAGAAAATCCTCGTAGACTTTGAGCCAAGTCTTAGCTGGGTCATGCTGTTTCGGTTTTGCTTTCCCAATCCCCGAATTTCGTTTTGCTTATTCCCTTCAATTGTCTTTTAGGAAAAAAACGTGCCGGAAAAACTATTGGGAGAAGAGTGGTTAAAGGAAACCCTAGAACAATGAACAGTACAATATTCTTGAAGTGCAAAGTGCTTTCCGTTCTCTACTCTTTTGAGACAAGAAAAAAAAAACGATTTGGAAAAGGACCGACTGGAATACTTCGAAAAACGTTTTTAAGAAATCTAGTTCACTTTTGAGCACTATGGTATACTGTGGAATTACACGTGTAAATATCAACTAAGTTTTGTGATTAAAAAGTTCTCGACGTTCTTTAAAGAAATTAGCAGTAAAAGAAAGATCTATCGTTTATTATTACAATTAATCTAGAAATAAAATACATAATTCCACAGTTCAATCATAGATAAACTGTCAAGCTTTTCATATTTTCATTGCTTTATTCAATTAACTTTAGGTCTTGGATTATTATTCTACTAGTGGAGTCGCTAATCTTTACATTTTAATGCCCAGCCCAGAATTAATCAGCCATAACGGTCCCTAAGCGCGCTTTCGCGGAAACTTTTACCTAAATTACAATCACTTAGAACACTTTTAACAGACATTATGCACTCATTTTAGACTTCCGTCTAATTTACATGCTATTTAAATTATGCTGCTGCAAGGAGCAGGGCCACCCAGCGAAAGCCCGCACCCAATATATAAGGCAGCTTCATCAAAATGCCTGTCTGTCCTGCCCTCTACTCTTCCCTTCCAGCCCTCTGCCCCTTTGCCATCATGGATGCTGTTCAAACTTGCAGCAGCTGCCGCAGCTACTTTGTAAAAACTTTTGTATGGCATGCAGCGGCAGAGGGATGGGGATCCTGAAGGACGAGGGGCGGCCGGCCGCATCCTTTGGATCGCCTTGCTTAGCATCTCCAACTGCATAAAATTCTGCCCAATATAATTTAAAGAGCACACCCAAGTGGCCTTTACTACTCCTTCGTCCTGGCTGCGCTCGCTCCACACCTATATCCTTTCCCGCTATCTGTCTGTAAGCTTTTGCAATAAAAATGAATTAAATGCAATGAAGCAGCAGTCTGCACCGTGGAAAACCATTCTTCAGTTCAGTTTTTAATCCGAAAAAATGTTATACAAAAAATGTATAAAAGATGCCAAAACAAAATCTATGTTGTTACTCTTTTCTTTCGCACTTTTTATTTAATAATTTGATAAATAAAACGTTTTAGAATAACTAGCTTTAATTTCTTTTTGTATTTTTTACAACAGCTGAAAAGACTTTTATAATAATATTAAGAG